ATTTTAGATCAAATGTGTCAGTAGTCCACTAATAAAAATAAAATAACCATTTGTCCAAAACAAATGTCTTTTCTCGTTATAAACCACCAGTAGACAAACTTTCAATTAAATTTGATTTGAAAGTGCAGATCAAACCTTGGATTTTTTTACAACAGGCCACAAGTTAAATTCTTATCACTAAAACTTTAAATCCAATAACATATAAATTATATTATCTGTACAGCAAATAGGTTTGGTCTAATGTTAAGAAAAAAGTTTAAACCAAATTACTGTCCTTTTAAGTTCATTTGTACAAAAATGGCACCACAGTTTAACCCTTATCCCTAAAACAAAACCAGTGTCTTCTGATACACATGCAGTTCTTTACTATCACAGGAAGTAGTGCTTTAAACCCCATCACCGTTCCAGAGAAGGAGGTATTCTTACAGATTCAGCTGTGTCTGGCTTTTTAGCTGGTAAACCAATGTCAGGAACATTTACGGAAAAACGATGTTCCAATTACGAGACATTGTGAGACTAATGGCGGAGAAATTCTGCTCTGATAGTGAAAGGCTCATGTTCAAAGAACCTTACACTCCCCAGAAATGCAATGCATGCACTTAGTAATCTTCTTTTGCAGTGTCACCATCTTGGGTTTCTTGCGGGTTTTCATGAATGTCAGTTTCAAAGGGAGGTTGCATTTTTCAGTGAATTTTTTGACTAGGAAAACTTCAGATCAAGAAAAGGGAGTGGTATAAAATGCTTTCTTTACCAGCTGAGAATGGGGGAAAAAGTTTAGAAAGCTCTTCCATGGGTAGAAAAATTAGGTGATAAAGGGATAGGGAAAATTTGGGAGGAAAATCCATGATCACTATTGGATAGCAATTGGTGTGAGATTTTAAATCTAATTTTTTATCAAATTAATTAGAATTCTTTATCTTTTATCAAAATACAACACAGACAATGTTGTGCTTTGCAAGGTCAGATCAGATATAATGGGTAATGAAGACTTCTGTCTGCCATATTTTCTCATCTGAGGGTCGAAACCTGTCAAAATGGCAGCCTTGAGGCTGGAACAAGGAAAAGAGACCAGATAATAGCTGTCATAACCTACCCTAGGAGTGAAAATGCAAATAGCAATGAAGTATTTTTACAGTTCCCAAGGATGGTGAAAGACGGAAAGAATGAAACAAAGAATGACAGACACAGGGAGAGATTGAGATAATTTATTTTACATTATGAATAATTTAGGTATAAAATATTTCAAAGCATTATTTTTCACATCATCAAAACAATGTCAATTATCTTTTACTCTGTAACATTTATTCAGTTGAAAAGCAAATTTTGAATCATGAAACGGTTATTTTTTATATGTTTTCTGCAGCTGTCTTTTCTACGAACCTGTCATTTCATGTCTGACAGAGTCAGGCAGATGGTTTGTGGTTGCCAAGGTGCATCTTTGACCCTATCTGTGGTATGACTTTAATGAACATGTCTAAGATATCTGCCTTTTTGAAGCAGGTTACAAAGATTTCACCAAATTCTGCCACATGTTATAGATATATGTACTTGTAGAAAAATTTTAATGTGTCATACCTGTGAATATCTGTAAAATACATTTAGTAGTTTAGTTGATCAAAATTCATAGCTCTCCCCACTTTGACAAAATAGAAGTAATCAAAAAACTTTCTTAAAAGCCCAAAATTTTTTATATATGTAATATTTTAATTTCATTGACATCCAATACAACTGATGGCTATCTATACATTCATAACTGATTACTTCTCCTCATTGGTCATTTTCTATGAAAACTAAAATGGGCATAAAATCTGCGTCTAACCTAAGGGGATGACCAGCCGCTTGCTAAGGCCCCATTAAATTGTTCCTACATGTCATTAAATGATTGTCTCCAACCCAAAGTGACACCTAGTTAAAGTGTCACGTCTATTGTTTTCCTTCTTCTAATTGGCTTCTCACCAATCAATCTTTTATAGATGCTGCGCTAATGTACGGCTTGGTACACGCGCATTGTAATTTCTGAAAGCTGGTTCTTCATTTTGTGTTTTATTGGTCGTGCCGCTATTGTTTCTATCTCTAACTATTCTAGCCCACCCCCAGGGCTTGGTTAATATTCATGATAATGTAACCAAGTTCTGAGCATCGTGTTTTATAGCACACATGTGAGCCGAAAGACCCAGTATTGTTATAGTAGTTCATGTAGTAGTAGGTGTAGTATCTGAATGATCAAGCTTTGGAGAAAGGATATTCGTTTTGGAAACCTGGCATTCCAATAATGTGGATTTTAGGACTTATTTAAATAAGTTACTGTATTTCGATGGATGTGAAATGGTGGAGCTAGCTTTGGTGATTTTTAAAGGTAATTCCAAATCATTTTTTTTCCAACGGAAAAAAAACTGTATGTTAACCAGATATTAATCGAAAATATTCCCCAGTCAGCAATAGTTAATTTCATCAAGGGACAAAGGTATACTTAAAAGCATTTTCAAATTACTAATAAATTTCATAAAAAGCTAAACGTCAGCAAAAAACTTACATATTTTATAAAAACCAAATTATTTTCTTAATCTAATTTGAGACCCACAAGGACCAAATGTTCAGAAAATAATTGACACATTCATTATTCATCGGAGTGTGTTCTGGACACACAGGTTTAATTGAATTGAAATGTGCGCTGGTTTAGTTTACTTAAACCTGCTGTGCCCCCATATGCTTCCTATTGCCATACCTTTGGGTTTTTGGACCTAATTGTGTCCAAAAATCCTTCTAATGAAAGAACATTTTTTAAACTGGAATGTCTGCATTGTCAGGTATACAGGTGATTTATAGCTAATTTCCTATGATCACATTTCAAAGTTAATAGTTTTGTATTCATGGCTGTTTGTTTTGCATGGCCATTTAAAATCACAATATTCAATTGACTCATAGCACATGCAATGTCAACTTGTTCTTCAGTACAGTTAATTCGACCAAGATATAAATGTATAAGATGTCATTTTTTTTCATTCAATCTAGCCACAAAAAATGCCATTTTTTTCCTCATAATCATTTTCTTTTTCTTAATAAAATAACATTTACAAGAAATCACTCATAGCATCTTGTTGTGCATAAGGCCACAGGAGTGGTTGAAATGAAATGAGATGAAAATAAAAACATGCAGTTCGTTCTGATCAAAACGGTTCTTAAAACTTTCAGAGCCAACCCTTCCCTTTAAAGATATCTACAGTTTCATTTTTTCTTTTTTTTTGACACCCATTGTCACTTTGTTGTTAGAGTCATCAACCTTTGCCAAGGTTCAAATGGAATGATACAATTATTGCATTAAGACATCCTTTCACGGCATATGTATTTTTCTACTGAGTGCTGAAAGTTGTTTAAACTTTATGATTAAGTGCCCTCAGTGTTAAAAGGCCATAATATCTATAATTCAAATCTTCTGTTTTTTCCTTCTCTTTGAAACCCATGAAAGAATGCATCCAGACTATAATTCTAAAAGGGACTATTAGACTTTCAAGTGAATGTCAAGCATATCTATCTTGTAACTTTTGCTTTCAAACAGCTAAAGGTCTTGCCCATTTAAAACAGATGGTAAATCAGTTGATCCTATTTAATTAAGAGTTCAAGCTGTTTTAGGAGAAAAAACCTAACCCAAGGTGTCAAAAAAGACATTTATTTTCATATGGTTTCTTTCTTCACCAGTCTTCATATCTTTGATGAGGCACACTGAAATATGTAAATGCCGATGTCCTACTGGCTATAAAACAGACCCTATATTTCATAAGCTAGACTGTCTAGGCTTAAAAGTTTAGACCAATTTTGGACTAAAGTTATTTTGTGAAAGACAACTACTGACTAAATAGTAATGTGCACTACAACCACAGCATAAAACAGAAAATGAAGTATCTCTATGGAGTCAATTCCAATAAAACAGAGAGAGAGAGATTGTAATTAAAACCCACAGGAAACACTTGCAATAAACTATGAAGGAAACAGGATAATAAGTAAGAGAGAAATCACTTAATGCAAAGTAACAACATCAAAAGTGAAAATAAAGCCATAAGACAACCTGCATTTCCAGCAATATCAATCGCAGAAAGTGTTTTTGATTTATTTAAAGAGTAAGAAATGCCCCCTGTAACTGTACCATTACAGAAATAAAAAAATACAACATGTATAAGAATACACAATCACAACAAACAACGAGGACACAAAAACAAACACAAAGAAAACATGACACCCCCAAAATAAAATAAAAACATTACAAAAGCAACACACACAATAAAAAACTTACATTACTACATACACAGTCAGTCATAGTATTTCCCAACAAGCACACAGTCAGTTTTCAATCCCGTAAACGACAGCTATAGGGTGTTCTTGTATACAAGTCCCCTTTATGCACAGTGACAATGCACAGCCATATCAAGTTTTTTTACCACCTACTAGCGCTGAGTGATAGCAGAGCTAATTATATCAAAAACTACCTCTGTCCTTCAACCAACCTGTCCATTACAGTGACAGGCTGTTTCACCCCAGGTTTTCACTAAAACTTTGATATTTACAGTCTCTGTTTTTTATTTTGGCTATTTTGCTGCATTTTGACAGGCATAATTTCAATGCACTGATAAAGGGCTCTGTTGTATTAATTATAGACATGTTGAAAAGTTTTCCTACCACACAAATTGACCAGTTTCTTAAATACGCCATTCTCTCTACCTATCTGATATAAATCACCCATACTACAAACATATGTTTTATTAAAAGTACAGTATATTCTGATATACTGAAATTCAATTCATGAATAAATTTGCAAAAGTTTTCACAAACGATGATGTTTTCTTATCAACAAATGATCAAGCTGAAATCAAAAGCCCAAACAGATTCCATCCCCCACACATATTTCCTACTTTACAGTAAAACATTTCTATTCAAATGACCTGACAAAAAAGGGGAGGGAATCGTCACTGCCAATCCACTAAACTTAGTTTGTTTTACTCTTTCAGGTATCCTATTAGCATCCAGCTGTGAACCACAATTAGGCTCTTTGGACCAATCGAGTAGCACAAGACAAATCAGAAAGCCAAGAATTACAAAAAAACGTCTGCTTCATCTCTGAAAAGAAAGAAAAATTGTCTGACATCCCACCAAGTTCAGTGAACACCGAAGAAGTCCAGGCACAGCAGGAGATCTCCTTTCTTGACTTAAGAAAAATGACATCTGATTACTGAAAAGATCTCAGCTAAATAGAAACCAGAAATCAGTTAAAAGGGCTGTTGCATTTTTCTCCACTGGGACAGAACTAAGCAGATTTAAAGACAGACACATTTTTGGGATTTATCCATTCTTCTCCATCGGGTAAAAACTACAGGCAGAGGCATCTGAAGGATTTGTCTATTTCTGCTCACTGGACAGAAACCAAAAAGAATTCTTTGAAACAGAAGTATCGCATAGAACACCAGCACAGTTGGAGCACCATCTGCATGGTATAATACTAAAACATCAGTACTGTGCTAAAATACAGTCTGCAACCTTTAGACACAGGTGTCTTGAACGTGTTTACACTTGTGAGCAACTCACATATGTCACAGATTTAAAACTAACAGGGGGAATGTTGTCACGGTGACATATGCACTTTACATGTAAAAACTCCAAATATTTTTTGACCACCAGAGAACTACGCAGGTGTTCTTCACAGTGGATTGTGTTCAATATTCATTCTTCGAAGTCTACGAAATAATCTTCCATTATGCCAAGAGTGCTGAAATCTAGTGGCCGTTTTGTGCCTAGGATGTACATCACGTGCGGGCTACCAATTTTATTTCTGTGCCTTTTGTGGAGTTCGGGTGCTTACGCCAATGTGCAGACAGATTGTGACATCACAGGATACACGGTAGAATGTCGTTACACGAACATGTCTAAAATCCCATCTGATCTGCCAAGTAATACACAGATTTTGAAATTTTATCGTAACAACATCCCGATCATTACAAACTATTCGTTCGCACCGAATCTCATGGCAGCGCCGAATCTGAAGGAGATTTATCTCAATTTCAACTATATACAGAGACTTGAGCTGAAAGCCTTTGCATTTTTGTCGAAGTTGAGGATTTTGCAGCTTTCAACCAATGAAATCACTACACTTCCAAACAACGTATTCCAAGATCTGGGCAGTCTTCAGGCACTATCCATTGCCGAAAACAGACTAGAGTTAATTGCTGAGAATGCCTTCAAAAACTTAACCAATCTGCAGACACTGGACCTCAGTTTCAATCGACTGACAAAAATTTCGGCAAATATGCTAAAGCCGCTGAAAAATCTCCAAACACTTCTGCTGGGAAATAACCTGATTACATACTTCGAAAGTGGCTCCTTCCTGTCTCTGCTCAACCTCCAAACCCTCGAGCTCCAGAAAAACAAGGTGGATAGGATTCCGGAAGGCTCCTTCAATAACATAACTGCCCTGGAACTCATCAACTTTGGTGAAAACAAGCTCCGCCATCTTACACCTCAAATTTTTTCACCAATGACGCGTCTCCACACCCTGAATCTCAAGGGAAACGAGTTTGAGTGTGACTGCACCCTCCGGCCATTTAGAGAGTGGATGGAGAGCAGAGAATTCTCCCCGGTTAATGTCACAAAAGTTGAGTGGACGGACCAGGACAGCGGGCAATGCGCTGGACCGCCAAACCTTCGCAATTACCTCTTGCGCCAATTGCCAGTTTCCATGTTCATCTGTACCACAACTACAACTACGACCACAACCACCACGACCACCCCGACCACTACCACCACCAGCACTACGACCACAACAACAACGCCAGTTCCGACCACTAGATCCAGCAAAGCCACAGATGCAGCTACAAGTTCTACAGTTCTCACATCCGGGGGCATTATTGTGGTAACTTCAGCAGCACCTGTTGAACCATCACCAGCACCATGGAACCTTCCTTTGACACAAGATGAGTTCATCGGCATCATGATCGCAGGAGGACTGGCTCTAGTTCTCCTCATCATTCTCATCATAGTGTTCTGTAAATTCAGAAATCGCCTTTTCTGCAAGAACAAGAAAGAGCACAACAACAATCTCAGTAAAGTACAGATCATTCCACCGAGAAAACCCATGGGCAGCACGGGTAGTTCAGGCTCTACCGACAGTCGCAAAGTGGGCTATGATAATGAAATCAATGACAAAAAGCACCTTACGAGCATCAGTCTCTTAAGTAATGGGAAACTCCACAATGGGCACAGTGGACCCAATGGACATATCCCACATCATGGGAACGGCCATCTTCCACAGGGAAATGGGAATGTCCCACATCATGGGCATCCCGCTGTTATCCCGTATGGGAACGGCAGTGTCCTGCACCAACAAACTCAACACCATCATAACAATGGGGACATCTTGCCAAAAATGTACTATGAAAATTCAGACTTGTTTTATGACAAGACCTCCGCAAATAAGAGGTCACTTGACTCTATAAACACATCAGGGCATGGAAGCACATCCTTAAACTTTGAGAATAATAGGGACTCCATGAATCCCACGCCTTTAAGTCTAAAAAAGATTCATCTAGAAACGCTAGTGTAGCGTTTATTGAAAGATAATACTTTTTATATCAATATATAATTTTGTAAAAATGTACATATTTCATCCATACTTATTGCCATAACAGACATGAATTAATCTCAGTTCAGTAATTAGAACCAGGATTTTGCCACGTGAAGTGTGAAGTTTTGTTGCCATGGCAATGAAAACATCTACATGTATTATAAAATCAAGAACCTAGGTTACAATGGTTCCAAGTGACGGGTGCCTTTTAGATCAGATCTACCTTGATACAGCATGTTCTATGCTTCTGTGTAGGTATAAATTTGCATAAACACTGTCAAATAAGAACTCTGAGTTTCAAAGAGTAACCTATGTCTTGACATTAGAAAAAGCATGTCAATAATCGTAGTTCATTGGTTATTTAAAGTGAATGCTGAAACTGAATTATTTTCACCTCATGTTGCATGGCAACTTAACAATACCATTAAAATTATTTGATACGCCTTTAAGGACCAAGATATAAGACTAATAATGGTGTCAAAACTAGAGGCTTCCCACTGAATATGTAAATTTGATAATATTATGTTCCCATCAACAATATGTTGAGAGAAAAAGTGACCAACAAAGACAAAATTTGTCTTGTAGATGAAATATAAAACAAAAAACAATTGTTTCCCCGGCACTTTTTGTTATTAAGTACCAGGTTCTATTTTTGGTTCTGCAATGACAACTCACAGTTATGCAGCATACGGGCCATGCACTCAGAGAAGCTATACTTCAGAGCATAGTTTAAATAGTTTATTTTACTAATTTAAACTGTACATTTTGTTGTAAATATTAAGGTTTAGTTGACTAAATTAAGCTCAAAATATGAGTTGTAATAACATGGTCATAGATCTGATCTATGGAGATTGGTTCATTAGTTTATTATTCAATAATTAATTAATTAATTAATGTCAATAAAAAAGTAAGGTAGGAAATCCGCCTGGATCTCAATACTGTGGTTACTACTCCTCGGAGGGCAGCATATTATAACTACCTGTACTTCAGTTCTGTGTAATTCTTGTTATAATTAACAAGAGCCAAATGTTAATTTAGTTACAGAGGAAATGAGGGTACGGTAGTATCTATGGCTATATAGATGTTTCATCACAGGTTTGAGTGTTGTTATCCCATTTAATCACTGTGCATTGTGGACGGAAACAAAATCACAGACTTTGGAGCCAAATTGTTAATACACTGCAGTTTTAATTACTTTTCTTTATTCTAATTTATTGATCTTTTTTTAATATAGCTGTACAAAATAATCACAGCTAAATTGTGTATACACCTATCTTTATTTTTTAAATTTTGATGTGGCATTTTTTCTTTCGCTGAAGTCAATGAAAATATTGCTCATATGTTGCTCATACGACCTTGAAACCCATCGGAAAAACTGACTCTTGCAAGTTGTGTTTTTAAAACATTGTATCATTTTGCTAAATGGGTCTTAATAGTCCCGCCTTCGTTTCCACTTGCAGTCAGTTTTATGTTTAATTAATTTTACATTAGGAAACAGCAGCAGGTTCACATAATGGCCTTTTGATTCATTTCCAATTTAAATTTGATGAAAATCTCTTTCCCACCTATTGAGGATACTGTTGCATTTGCAAAGCGGAAAATCAAAATGTGAACATTTCAGAGTGCAATGTGTATGTAGTTGTAGGTGAATTATGACTTTGGGGGTGAAATTCAAAGCAAGGTTTTATTTTGAATTTATTAAATTATAATGTTAGGTTTTTTAAGGTAATGGTTAGAACTAATGGGAGCAAAATGGAGCTAATTTTATCTGCTTTCTCTTCACCTAGTTACTTTGTATTATTTCATTCCACTGAGTTTCTTTAATCATTTGTTATAAAAAATCTAACCCACTGAACAAAAATAGCCCACCTTTACTTCAAAACACCACTGATACCAGTTCAAACTGGCGTTTATAATCACTATACCTGGAAATGATTGTTACCAGGAATGGGTTAGCCATTATAGAGATTAAGTGAAATTTTAAGGGGAAGCACTTTGGCATCATGAAAATCTATTAACAAGTGATTAATATTTCTTTTGCAATATGATATTACTGCTTTTTGCCCATCACACTCAATTTTGTCTTTCACCGTGCATTTGTTGGTTGTCACAAACGGTTTAATTTTATTGATTATTGTTTTGTTTTTCATCACTAAGGTTTCACCCAAAGCTGTGTCAGCTTTTTGGTTTTATGTTCAATGAATGGTTACATTGATGTTGATTTTTCACTGTGAAAATATCACGCCAGTCACACAAGATCATTGCTTTTTTTTTTAGTCTACATGCACGATGTTATGTTTTTAAGACAAGATTTGTCAATTATCAAACTTCAAATCATATGATATCATCATCCTTTTTCATCATTTAACTACTAGGCTTAAGCAAGGGAAAAATCATTGGTTTCTGAGGTTTTTAACAAAAACATTAAAGATCTCAGCATTAGAAAGTAACTGATAAAAATAATCACTATTCTCTTACAACAAAAAATTATTTTTTAAGATGGAAGGTGCAGAAATATCTATGACAAAACAAGTGCATGATGACAACTGATATTTGAATTATTTTACCATTGGGCATAGTTGACAATTACGAAATATTTTCTTTGAAACAATTGTTTGTATCAATTGGATATGAACCTTAACCAGACAGTAGTTATAATACATGTAGAGGTGCTCGATAGACGAAATAGATTCCTGTTCAAAGACGAGAGACAGTAGTGTATTTTTATCACTGCTCTTGAGTCAGCATATCTGTACATATTACCATTTCTCTTTTGTAATTCCATTCACATTATTTGTAAAAAAAATAAATGTTGGTAAATAATTATTCAATATTTTTGTTTCTTTTTAACTGGTGATATATTATGTTGCAGTTTAAAGGATTTTATGAATCTCTCTCTCTCTCTCTCAAATTCAAATTCTTACAAATACACTGGTAAAACCTAGTTTGGGTACAATGAAAACAATGTAGCAGACAAAACAAAAAGATACCACAAAAGCCTGATAAGAAAAACAAAAGCACAGCCAAATCCGCCCACCAATTTTGATTCAAGATCCTGTTTTCTGGTTGCTGTAAATGTAAGCATGTAAAATGTCAAAACAGAGATTGCTAGAAAAATTTACAGCAACTAAGCCAAAGTTTCCACAATAACATTTTGCTTACATTTTCAAATGTGCATTTTTCATAAACAAATTAATAAATAAGTAGATGTACCAAAGATGTATTAAAGTCTAATGGACATTCCGTCTGAAAAAAAAAATTGATTCAGGATGAAACAACTATAAATAAAAAGAATAAAAAGAGAATAAGAAATAGAGCACTTCCTTTACTTGACACTTCAGAACTGAGAACAGCTGAATCCCTGTCCAACAATATCTCACTTCACACTTATGTAAACTGACTGCTACAGAGGGTAAGTAGGTTCACGAGCATGTCTTTAAACAGGGCCACCCAAAATGTTACAGACACAAGAAAAAGCCCTCTCAGTTCTACTACATCAGTGAACCACTCTCTGGAAACAAATTAAATTAAATCTGTTCCATCTGAGAGTGCCTTGTCTTCTGTGTGAAATAAACCACTGGTTGAAAAAAACAGCTTTTTCTTTTCTTTCTTAATTTGCTTTTTTTTTCTTTTTTGCTGGTGATTGAACAAGTTTCTCATACAACTGGACACTGTAGTACTCTGTTTTGAACGGACTTTATTAGATTACTTACGCTTCCTTCTAGACCAAAATCTCATGAACAAATTATTCCATTAAGTTAAAATTAAATTATCAGATACAAGATATAAAAATATATATGGTTCAGTAAGCTGCACATATATATTCTCAAACTTTTAGTTTTTTCCCAAAATGAAAATTACAGAGGGCATATAATTGGATACTGACTGTTTAAGCCAATGAATTGCTAATTACTCAGAAAAAGGGGAATTTGGTGAAAAAAAATCTCATCCAATACTTAAAGGTTCAAACTCATCATTAGCCACAGAAAGAACCAGATGTGTATGCGATAAAAATCACAAGCATGCTCAATACTAGAAAGGGACAAGATACTCTGAATTCTAGTACAACTGTTGCATTTTAACATGTGAGTATGTCAATTCTTTCAGATATCTGGACCATCTAGAAACTTTTATGTATTTGCTATATTTTAACCTTGATAGTCAAAGTTAGAAAACTGTCTCTGCTAACACCACTAAGCAGCTAAAATCAGAACTATCTCCTAATCTGACTATGGAACTAGACAGCCAGACTAAACAGACGGTACCCCGCCCCTCCACCCCCCCCTCTACACACACACACACACACACACACACACACACACACACGCACACACACACACANACACACACACACCAAGCCCGTAGCCAGCAATTACAAAAGGGGGGTTCTTTTTCTGAAAAAGCGAACCTTTTCCCATTAAAACTTAACGTACCTAGATCAAATCTTACCCAGAGTGGACCTTTTACCATCAAAAAGGGCGGTTCTTTCGACCCCCCCCCCTGGCTACGGGCCTGCACACACACACACACACACACACACACACACACACACACACACACACTTCTTCTTATCTCCATTATACAGTCTCAGGATCAAACCACAAGAAATACCAGGGACATGCTGATAAAAGAGTTTCCAGTGATCTCTGACACATATTATGGTGTCCCATTCTGAAGCAGTCTCTGAGTCAGACCAGTCAACAACTGATGTATTACTGTATCCTGCAACTATACACCATTCACTGCTACAGGAAAATATAAAATTACCAAGTCAATAAATTATCATTTTTTGCATGATCGCTAAAACACTCAAGCAATTTATGACTGTTTTCAACAGTTCTAGGCATCTAATATGCTGCAAACCTTCACCACGATCACGTCAGTAAAACTCATCAAGGTAGAATAAATCGATATGCTGTATAAACAGTATTGTGTGTACAGACACTCTGGTACATGTACACTGACACAATCTCTATACTCAGACAAGATTTTGGGTTGTAAGAAATGAGTAGGAAGAAATGTTATGGCCATGGATCTGGGTGTCTTTTAAGACAGAAAACTACCGAGAAAAAAATTGGATTTTTGATTTAAATTTTAAAAAAAGGCTCCTGGCTGCTCCAGGTGATCCCATTTGGAAAGCAGCATACTATGCAAATGATTTTAGAACTACATCTTGTGATTTACCCGATCATTCTTCATAAAACATAAAACAAATAGTAAAAGATAAAAATGGTTGTCCGGGAAAGTCTCAGACCCACCACATTCTACGAAAAAAAAAAAATATCAGAGAAAATAAAAATACATGGTGGTAATGCATTTGAAATTAACAAAAGTTATGTATGAAGGGAACAGATGGAACTTATAGAAAACATTACTTTAATTGCAGGCAATGATCTGTAAATGGATTATTATTGTTTGTTATAACAGGTGTAGGGGGACGTCTGTTCCCAAGACAACCCCATCTGACCCCTGGTGGCCTCTGAACTCAGCTGTGCAAAATATCATATTCAATACAGGTCCTTTTAAATAAGTATGTATTTTTATTAGTAGTAGAAGTATACATTATACACGAACACCAATTTAAAATTCACTGCTGACTAGATTGTTATTAGTATTATTATAATTATCAAATTACTTAGGGCTAGAAGCAGACACATTTTATAGTATTTAGAAAAGACATAGATAATATAGACAACTAACTCAAAGAAACTACTATGAAAGGGCCAAGAAAAATAAATGGCTTCTGATTTTATTTTAAAAAAATTGGAAAAAAATTGAACTTCTGAAAATGTTGATAATGATCACATCACACGACAAATTTCAAACAAGTGGCCACAGTTTCCAAGTCTTAAAACAGCCAGCCATATCACCAGTTCTGTATTGGATATTGGAGTTTATAATGAGACATTATAATAGATACCCTGCTAAGATCCAGCCATATCACAGACATAATAATCACCTTAGAGTCACGTCCTTCTGAAAATAACCCAAACAAACTGAGAGCAAAAACTATACAACAACAACCGTGAAGTCAGATCGATGCCTTAGTGTTAAAAGTGAGAAACGTACATAAATATTATTTTTAAAGATTTTCACCGCAACTGTTTAACTTCTTGCCCACTGTGAAAACATGGAAAGGAAACTTCATTCACAAAAGAAAAAATACAGTTCATTGACATAAAGGAAGTGTAGGTTCATAGTGTAATTATTTTTATTCTTATTCACCTACGATTCATTATACTTATCAAACAGTTGAGAAGGATCAACTTAATTGCAACCCTGTTATTTGTTTAATGTCACTGGGTTACGAGACTTGTAAATTTCCCGAGTCATGCATTACCAATTGAGTAACAAAATTACATACACTCTTTTTCATATAAAGAAATAATGACTTTTTCTCCCAAGCCAGTGAGTAAGCAGTTTTCGGCTACTTTTAAATGACTTTAAAAATAATTATCTACACAATAAACAATACCTGCTGATAATAAAACATGTGTGGAATTTAACCTAGTTTTTTTACTTTTATAAAGACAGAGTTATTTCAAGCTCTCAAACATGTTGACCAGAATGACATATTAGGGTTTTTTAAAGAAAATAAACACTAGACATGCCACAGAAAAGCAATGCCAGCACTGAAAAGAATCCACAAATATCTTAAGCCATCAACAATATCAGCATTCTCACTCGTTCACAAAATAAACACGAATCAGTGCATGTTGTCAGAAAACAAAAGCAAAGAAATGAGTTTAAAAAAATAAAAAATAAGGCGGGGGGGG